ACCTTGGTATCAAAACGGGCTTGAGGCGGACCACCCGCGCCTTCGAGAAGACAAGCGAACAGCCAGAAACTTCAGTATCCATAATGAAGCGGACATATTCTACCACACTATACGCGGTCTCCGATGCATAAAAAAATACGTGATGTTCGGCGTACGGAATACCACCAACCGCTCTAGGCTTTATACACCCAGGAAATTGCAAGTTATGGAGGCTACGAAGGTTGGATAACCAATTATCCCAACAGGTGAGATTTGTGTCATTTAACAACTCGTCCCAACTGTACATGGATTGCGATAGACACTTGCCTGGTATTAACCACGGAGAAACAAAGCCCGGGGGATTATACAGTGAAGATATACAGGGTAGAACACCTTTGTATGTTGACAGTTTCGTCGGTAAATTAAAGACAGTCACATGTGCATCATATTCCGTATCCTGCTGCACTCTAGGGTACACCCAGTCGGCAAGGGAACCGTAGTTAGGTTTCTCACACGGGACGTGGGTTCGGTCGGACCAATGGCTGACAGTACCCCGCGATCGTTGGAAGACCAGTTCTCTAGGCTGAATCCTCCCTTCGAGAGCAAAACACTTATCTCGTTAACGAAGAACTTAGCCGTTACAAAGTCCGGCAATGACTTTAAGCAGTCCTCAACATATAGATTGTTGTCTATTGCGCTGCAGGTTGAGACGGCATAATCTGAGCCAGATTCCTCAACGGTCTTTTGTAAGGCGAACATTGCATAGAAAGGAGAGGAGGCGGTACCAAGAGGGTGAGACTTCCATAAAAATTTAGTAGGTTCTCCAAATAGCTCATAGTTTTCCCACCACAGGAATTTTAGGGCACCTCTATCACATGGGTCAACCTTGAGCTGTAGGAACATCTCTTTGATGTCTGCTGCCACAGCAACTTGCTCTAAATGAAAGCCCAGCATAACATTTACAAGTGTTGCGGTCAAATCAGGGCCCTGATACAGGTGATCGTTCAGGGACATACCACGACATTTAGCAGCGGCGTCAAATATTACCCGAATCTTTTGTGGCTTATTTGGGTTAACAACCGGATGGTGTGGGAGATACCACTGCTTTGAATTTAATAAAAATGAGAAGTATATGCAACCAATTCAATGTATTCTTCCTCCAGGTATGCGCGAAGCGCCTCATTTCACTTTCCGTGTAAAACACAATCCTTGCACAGTCTAGTTTTCAGATTATGTAGACGTTTTCTAGTCACCTGGAAGTTATCGGGTAAGGCAAGTGCGTTATCCTTCCATGGGAGCGGTAGCTGATACTGCCCATTTACTCGCACCGCACCAGTCGCCACTATCAACAGAGTCTTTTGATTCTCTAAAGAGAGATGAGTTTTCGATGCTGATGTGTCTGCGAATTCTGAGTTGTACTTGAGGGAGGAATGTTTGAGTGACGGTCGAAAAGTGTCAAAGCCACCGGCTGTCTGGGATACATGCGGCCGTTTAGTCCTTCAGCGAATATCTCAAATTCACTACCTTGCTTTCATTTTCCATGGTTCTGCCTGACCTTGCTGTTCAAAGTCACACATTGTTGATACCAATCTCCGACTCCGCTGAATTCATCAGTAAAGTTCTCGTACCTAGCCGGCCAAATTTTCACTGTGAATAGTTTTCCACAACTTGTCACTTCTCATGTGTTCGAGAATAGCGAAGTGCCAGTGCAGGAGCACATCCGTAGACGTGTAAAACAAGCCGTAAAAACAACGAGTTTGGGCGAGTGGTGATCATTTTTGGGAAAAATGTAAACAAATTTCGCCATAACCAGTTAAGCCAAGCGATAGTCCTCAGAAGCAACGCACGAAGGCGGAACTTTGAAAGGTTGGGCGGTTTCTCTCCCTTTTAAAAGCCCTGAACTCAGTAAAAATAAAGGGCGAGAACATTCGAAAAACGAGAAACATTTGAGACAACCAAAGAGAGCGGCACTAGTTTTGAAAGGCAATGCTCCTTAACGTCAAACATCGGTTATTTGCAGGGCTTTGCTCTAGAGAAGTCAAAACCGGAGGGTTAGAGGTGATTCATCGGATTAAAGATATACCCTTTGCGGTGGGCGTCACCGTGAATTAGAGTAAAATGGGGGTCTCGATGTTTTGCTTCCAGGCGGGCATAAAACCTTTCGCGCACTGCCTTCGTTTTTCAATCCACTCCGCAAGATTAGGTGTCACCGATTCCGCGTCCAGCATCGCAAGTTCTAAAGTATTGTTTCCTTCAGCTCCTTAGGGACTAACTTGGAACTGCAATCAGAAAAAAGATCCTTCTTATGCGCAAAATTGGTAGACCTACTGAGGGAACGACAACATGGCGTCTTTCAAAATCCATACCTTCGAACCAGCGTCCCGGATCACAATAAAATCGGAGGCCGCTCACTTCGATCTAATTCAAGCTTAGGGGAAGATATTTTTTAGACAACTTTTCTCAGTAACAGTATCGACTGTCTCAAATAGCACTCCTCCGACATTTACTCACGCTACATTCATGTATTCAATTAAACCGCTTTCAGCTACCTTTATGTAAGTCCTGCTGGCAAATTACAGCACGCACTCGGACGAACCGCAGGCTGCCAAAAAAGCTCCGGTGACTTCTGGTAAAAAGATCTTTTTCAAAAAGTTGAGTACAGGGGATACAGTAGATAAGCTGCCATTTCGTAAAATGTTGAACCGCTGTAAATCAGGAATCCGCCGGTGGAACATGTGAAAACAAGCCACCATCATGGACCTCGCTCGAAAAAACAAAGACGTCGTGATCAAATACATGAGGCAGCTCTACAGAAACAAGCCATCCGCGTTCCCCTTGAGGGACAGAAACGGAGATCTAACGAATGACAGAACAGTGGTAGCTGAGGTCCCCAGAGAACACTGTGCGTGTCTATACTCAGTCGCAGCGTCTTCTTCAAATCCACTCTTGTCATGGCGGAACTACGAACAGCCTCTAACCGGCTTCGTCTTCACGGTGGCGGACATTCGTCAACTCGTAAATAACATCAACCCATTTTGCGCGTTGGGGCCCGACGAGGTCCATCCAAGGACTCTGAAGGAGACGTCCTCCAAACTGGCTAATTGTCTACACATGGTGTTTAGTCAGTCGCTTGACGAAGGCCGACTTCCCCCTGCTTGGAAGGAAGCGATCATCACGCCAATCTAAAAAAACTGGTGACCGACTATCGCCTGGCAGCTATAGGCCTATAAGTCCCACTAGCGTGCCGTGCAAGGTGATGGAACGCATTCTGAAGCGAGCTATCCCAGATCACCTTACTTCCAGCAATCTGATATCTCCAGCTCAACACG